ATGGATGGCATTTCATACATACCTTCCCGTCCTAATTCATTAAACTTTTTTAGAATTAATACTACAGGTCTGTTAATACCTAGATGTGTAAAGGAACATTATACCATATAATTTTGAAGCTACTGGTTAAAAACAATTTTTGTGGATTGGAGTTTTCAAAGTTTATGTTCATCATTGATCAAATATAAGATTAGATTAGTATAATATCTAAGCAAATGTTTTATTTTATTTTTTAAAGCTTTATTATATAACCAAAGGATAGAAAAATGTACAGTGCAGATAGACTGTTTGTTAAATTACAGAACTAGGCAACAAACTGAATGTATCATAATAATGACACATTTAAAAGCAACGACATACATTTTTTAAGGAAGGTATATTGAGGTAAGTCGTACTTTTATATCTATGGAACAAATTACATTACATAATTACATCAGATATAATTTACTTAGTAATATTAATATTATACTATTGACATTGATAAAGAAAATCAAAGTTCATTAGTGTTTTCAGTAAGGAAAAATCGATACATTTGAACGAGCAAACGAAACAAATTTGCCTTAATGTTTACAATAATCTTTTTACAATAATTTCTTGTTGCAAATTCTTTTAATGGAATATGAGCTCTATTATGAGGAAAATTATAATAAAGCACAACTGTTGAAAGTCCTACAAATGAAAAATTATGAGAAGTTTATCATAGATAATGTGGCGGAGAGATATGGTCACAAAGTGTTGAGATTACCTCCATATTTCAGTATTTTCAACCCGATTGAATTAATTTGTTGTAAATTGAAGAAACACGTCAGAATAGGAAATGTTTTTCCGCAATTCGATAAAAAAGTCGTAGAGATAGTTCAAAATGTAGTGTTGAAAATTAAAAAGAGAGATTGGGAAAAAAGAATTAGGAAAGTAATTGCAATTGAGGATGATTATTTAGAAATTGCCAAATTTCATATAAATAGTAGAAATAAATTTATTATAAATTTGAACGAGGATAGTAAATAAAGAAGAGGGTGAGAAGTCCGAGGGTTCAGAGGAAGAAGCAATGTGAGGTGAGGTATAGTGAAGTGATGTGAAGTGAAGATGTGAATCAACTGCATTATTTAATTCCGTTTTTGTGCTTTCATAGTTTAGCGCTTGAGAAACATTCTTTTTCAGGTTTTATTGAGAAAAATATTTGTTTCTGTTACCATTTTGAGCGTATATTTTTTATTTTTATTTTATTTTTAAAGGTTTCTTGTTACTTTTTTAAATAATCTCTTTATTCTATACTAATATTCCATATCCATTCTTTCCTGACAAGAATTTCTCATACCTCCTCGCGGTTCTTGCTGGGCAGTAACAATTTATATTAAGCAAACTTGAATACTGTTACTGCTGTATGTGTAGTCAATAGGTTAAATTCAATACTTTTATTTCAAGTTTATACTTTTTTGTACAATAATTAAATTGTTGTAGCATCTTACCCCGGACGTCCCGTCACAATATAGGAATTCCTTAACTAGACATACTATTTTTATGACTGTTTCTCACTAATTTCAATTACAATTTTTTCATAACTTTATTGTCTCGATACAAGTTAGGCCTTAAAGGATCGATTGACTCTCACGCTCCTATAGTAAAATATGACAACCTAAATTTTACCAGCCGTAATATTCTAAGAGCGGAGATGAGCTCCCTCGCACTGAGTGATATCATGACTTTCATTAGAAGATTGGAACGATTCAACGATGGAGCAAGAGAAGTACATAACTGAGGGGACAACTGAGGGGTTGGTAAAAAGTGTCCGTCTATGGTTTACTTGCCAAGCGTCAGCCTCCCCCACCATTACCATTACTAGCCGTAACTGTTAAAATATAATCCATGTTATGGCCAGTAGATTCCTCTCTGGGTTATGGACATGTTCTGAACGTCCACTGGACGCACAACTTTGTAATAGCTGGACCCATATTATGTCCAGTAGAGTTCTCTATGGACATGTTGTGGACGTCCATTGGATGCAGATTTTTGCAGCTTTTGGACGTTCATTGGGCATCCATTCGATGTCTAGTATATATACATCTATGGACAAGTTATGGATGTCCATTGGGTGCAGATTTATGTGACATCTAGACATCGATTGGACGTCCATTGAAAGTTCTCTGGACAAAAGTTGGACCTCCATTGGATATCCAGTAAATTTATTGCGGGTGTCCATTGGATATCCATTGGACGTATTTGTGCTATCTGAGACTATAATGTTAAAATATTCAACTTTTTAGAGAACTTATTCCAACTTTCTCTAGTACTGATACCACCTCACTAAACATAGTAAAGTTCTTAGAACGTTGCTGAACATTCTAACTGTGAACTGACACGTAGCATTTGCAAGTGTTCTTCCAAAATTTGCCATTTCCTTAAAGACGTCGTATTCTCTTCTCTCGATCTAATTACTTCAAGTAACCTCTGAGCATGTTTCTGATGATGGAATCTATCACATCTTGTGGGATATGGGCCTATGAAATTGGAAGAATACTACCCAATAAATCCCACATATGTTCAATGGGATTCAGGTTAGGAGATCGCGGTCGACAAGAATCGTGATCAATTCCGGGAGTTTCAAGGACGTTGAATACTGCTAAGAACGATGAGGGCGAGCATTATCATCAATAAAAATAAAATTTTCGCCAATAGCAGCTCGTCACAATGTTACTAACAATATCGTTGGCATACTTTTATCCAATGATGATCCTCCTGCAGATGTACAGATCGATGCGTCCTCTAACACATATTTCTTCCGGTACCATAACACTGCCTCTTTTAAAAGCTACTATGGGTTGGATAAATCTTTGGATGTATCTCATATCTGACATCATCCAAACTCGTAGACGTCTGATATCGCTGTGCAATCTGAAACAGGAAAATAATACAGGTCCAAGGATACCACCCTTCTCTTGTGGATGACTATCCATTACCAATAATAATTACAACTTTTGAGTCCTACCTGTTACATAACTACTCAACTAATTTAAAGCTTCATTTTCAAAACTAACATATTTTATAACGTAGGTTAATCATATATGAGTAATTATTCATGATGAAAGACAAACAGAAAATTTCTCATAAAATTCCTCAATTTTATGAGAAATTTTCTGTTTGTCTGTCATCATAACATATTTTATTTTCGAAAGGAATAAATCAAAATTTATGACATCTAACCTAACCTAAATAAGTCCATTCTTTTCATGAATTTCAAGAATCTGACATATTATTGCTTCGTATTTATGCATTTCTAGAAAAAAATAACAAAATAATTATTAAGTATTACAAAAGCATTCTTTGAAACCTACCATGATAATAATAATGAATACCTATACATTTTTATACTTTATATTGACATTCTTATCTAAATGTGCCAGTATAAAAGTTTGAGGCATACAATGAATCAAAAACAACACAATAGATTTTATCATAGAAATTATTAAAACAACTACTCAGTCTAGTAGCAAGAACTGCAATGAATGATCAGTATTATTATGATTATCGTAGTTACAATAGTTAATCTAGATATTGTCATTAAATTTAAATTGTCAAAATAAATTTGACAAATGTTCATATTTTGAATTATCTAATTTAAATATTTTTATAAATAATTTATAAGCGGACTTACCCCCTGAAGAGTTCAGAAGAATAAAAGTAGATATATATCGTACTAGGAGTTTTCGTTTTTTGTATTGTAACTGGAGGAAATCATTTCTTGAGTGAAAATTATCTTTATTGGTGAGTTAGTATTTTTTCAATATTTTTTTCACTTCTAATACTAATAACACTGTCATTTAATTCAATGCAGTTCTTGTTCTTAGAGTGAGTAGTTGTTTTAATAGTTTCTATGATAAAATGTATTGGAAGTTTTGTTTATGATTCATTCTATGCCTAAAACTTTTACATTAGCTCATTCAGATAAAAATGTTACTGACATTCTTATCTAAATAAAATATAAAAATCTATAGGCATTTATTATTATTATCATGATAGGTTTGAAGCAATGCTTTTGTAATACCCAATAATTATTTTATCTTTTTTCAAGAAACGCATAAATACGAACTCATAATGTGTCAGATTTTTTGAGAAGTAAATCAAGATCCCTAAATCAAAGGCTTTATTCTGGTCAAATAAAACTAATATTTGTTTTGGTTGGTTCTATGTGTTATTATACTTTTCTTGATATATTTTTTCTGTTATACTTTTCCTGATATATTTTTTTATGTTACACTTTTCCTGATATTTTTTTTCTCAGACTTTTTAGTATAATCATTATTTTATTTTTCTTTGTGTATACTTATATTAAATATTTATCTTGTCAAATATCAATGTTTTATGGATTAAGTTTATCTCTTTTTTTGTTCCTATTCTGTAATTGGATCTTTTGACCTGTTGAATAATGTAAAATTCATCGCGCCAATTAGTGATGCTCTTAAGAAATACAATATATAGGGTGGTAATTTAGTTCCGCACAATATTCATAACATAATTCAATAAAGAACATTAACATTTAACGCAATTGTTCAAAATATCCCCTAATAACAACCGGATACAGGCCGACACATGTGTAAACACTTTTTATTAAACGTTCAATAATTTTCAGGATGATATTTTCCATTTCGATACGAATTCGATGCTTTAGAACACCACTAAAATTGAGTAACATTGTACTCATAAAACAATAAGGAATCTGTTTTTATTAAAGGGAGGGGTAGCAATAAAAAAAGAAATGATGACGTCACAGGTCAAAAATAAGATACGACAAAAAAAAACGTGTCAGCGTCTTTAAAAAAAATAATAAAATTGACGTGTTTCAGCGTTTTCCAAAAAAAAAACCGTTTAATAACAATATTATGAACATTGTGCCGAACTAAATCACCACGTTGTATTCAGTGTGTCTATGAAATTATACTATATTATTTTTCGAATGGTTTGGGATAAACTGAAACAAAAGACTAGATAAAACTGCTCTAGGTGGCTTCGTAGTCGAGTGGTAAGAACAATAGCCTCTCATTTTGTAGTTCCGGGTTTGATCCCCTGTCGTGAAGCTAGGATTTTTTTCTAAATCAGAAATTAATCCTAGCATATTCGGACACTGGTTGTGTCCATTATCTCTAAGCCCTGTCCCACACAAGATACCTTGAGGTACCTTCTGAGATACAGGGGGTTGTTATTACTTGTTGTTATTAATTTTTTTTTAAATTTTTACGCTTGAGAAGTTTCACATCGACATTCACTTTCTGTAGAAACTAAATGTGAGTTTCCCTGAAGTTATGCAGATTTCCCCGTGACCAGTATTAATGTCCTGTATGCTTGACAAATTCCTTAAAAAAAATGAGTTCATCAATAAAATAAATGTTTTATATAAAACTTAGCCTGTTACGCATGCTTTCGGGCACTATTTCAAAAAATTGTAAATTTCAAGCCATTTCAAGTTTGAAAGAAAGTTTTTTGTTACGTAAACGTAAATCCACATTAACAATTTCATAAACCCACCTTAATAAATTTTCAAACTTCCCACCATAAACATAAATTCGCAACAAATTAAACATTACCATCTATACACAATATTAATAACTAACCCCAAACTAATAACAGTTCTCTACAGATCTCTACTATTTTTCAATAAAATTAACTACTTTAATAAAACGTCTATTTCACACAACTATAATATTCAAATATAAAAAACAATCAAAATGGTGAGTACTGCCATTACTATAAACGCATTCAAACTTTGTAAAGATTTCGAAATTGTTAATTTTACTGGAAGAAAATGTACCAATATCAGAAAAAACGAAATAAAAGTAATAATCTACTAGATAACCATGCATTGTTATTTTAAAATAAAGCTGGAACTATTATAATTATTATATTAAAGCTTTTCGGGTAAGTTTTGTAATAAAAAAATAAAAATTTTCCTTTAATTATACTATTTTTACAGATATTGTGTATTTTGTATTTTAATAAATTTTCTGAAGATGGAGAAGATCTTCTCCGAAACGTAAAATAATATTTTTCCTCTAATAACCTATAACAACCATAAAACTCAAGAAAACAGAAGAGTAATTTTCAACCTATATTCAATTTCATGGTTAAGAAACATATAATTATTTCTATATTTGTCTATCCTATACATGCATTGCTGCTGGTACAGGTTGTAACTAATTTGATACTTAGGCAAATATCCAAACAACAAAGTATATGTCACAAATCTAAGTAACTACTTATTCAGGATTTACTCTTTCATCAATATCATGAATCTCGATATCATTATTTACTCCTGAACGGCCAAAGTATTTACAATCCTTTACAGTTCCAGTCTACACAAATTTTCAACAAATAGAATTTTTAGAACAATGTAGAATAATCATGGTAGATTTCAAAAGATTTATAAAAAAATGTTAATGGTTCACTCTTCTATTTAAATATGCATTTTTGAGAATAAACTGAATTTTCTGTTCCTAAAATTTTCAGTGTTGATAGAAAATAAAAAACTTGTTTATACATGTCCAAATAGAATTGGCTCATGAGTTTTAACCTTCCACTTCTTGGTGGAAGCAGATAAAATTAATCACTCGCATTTTAACTCTGACGTGTTTTTCATTACCCGAAATTCCACTAATGTCATTCAAACTAATAAAGTCACGACCAGAGTAATATTGATTATATTTTTAAATTGTCAGTCATAACTGAATAAAAAGTTAGCTATTTCTACTGTCTACGCCTATGTGTATTTTAAACAGGTTTCGACAGCCAAGTATAGTTTTTTTAATTGTTTATTGATTCTAAGAATATGAAAGATTCATACTGATTCATGGAGAAAGTATTAAATTTGTAAGGAATTTTATTGTTGCAAAAAAATACTTATGTACATAATATACAGACAAAAAAACAATATCGAATATTATTTTTTCAGTTCCAGTAAAGTTAAACATTTTATTATTTATTATAAATAATTCTGAAAGTAAAGATTTTATACATATTTTACCAGTAAAAAAAATTTGAATAATATACTAATAAGTTATTAGTTATTAGTTATTAATAATAACTAAAATATTTCTTAACACATTTCTTAATTCGTTTCGTAAATAGGTAAACACTAATTAAAATTATAGGTTTTTTTCTGCATTTAAAATACATTGATAATAAAAGGAACCACTAAAATAATATATTAAAATGGAAAATGCAAAATTAATAATATATTGAAATAAATTAATAGTCTATCTCTGAAAAGTCTCAATCTTCTCTACATATTTTGTGGATTTATTTAATAAAAAAAATTAATACTTAATGGAATTTAAATAAATATTTCCCTCATAGAACAATAAAGCCATTATGGCATTAAATTTTCAATGACCCGAGGGTCAGGCTAATTCAAGCCAACAAGCCTGACATAGTCCTCCTCGACCATCAACTCGAGGTGATGTATTTCATCGAGTTCTCGGCATCTGCGAAGAAAAACATCACTTTGAAGGAGGAGGAGAAACGGACTAAATACCGCGATCTCCGGTACGAGCTCCAAGTACTGTACCCAGGCTACTCGGTAAAAATGGTCGTCCTAATAATCGGTGTACTCGGAGGGATAAAGCCTACGCTGCTCTCGGAACTAAATATCCTACCGGCCCACCAAAAGTCAGCCGAATGGTTGGCAGGCCAAATGCATGAGGCGGTCATTCTGGGTTCTCTCCGTCTGCTTAAACAGTCACTAACCCTGCTGGATGTGGGGAGTGTCTGTAGTTAATGCGCCGGCGCGACTCCCGTGAGGCGTCAGAGGCCACGGGAGGACTGTCCTGTATCGGATATTCCGAAGGATGTAACACAAATAAAGGATTCTCTCCGCGGCAAGTACAGACAGCGTCTCCACAAGATTTGCTCTTCCGAACTTTCGGGGAAGAACAAGGTGTCTGCAACTAATATGCTCGCCGTTCAGGTTCTGCTCTACTCCTTCGGAGTAGTAAAGTGGACGGTAGATGAACTGCGCCAATTAGACAGAGATACCCGCAAGATAATTAATATTCACAGAAGTATTCATCCTAGACCGTCCGACCCTCGTGTGTACCTCCCACGTCAACGGTGGCCGAGAACTCTTGAGCCTGGAGTGTACGCATGTGAGAGTAGTACTGAGTATAGCTTGTAACATCCTCGGTGGCTCAGATCCCCCCAGGAGTGGGAGCAGGATTATTCAAGGCAGCAAAAAGAACAGCAGATGAACTTGGTCTCGCATTTGACACCAGGCGACGTGGCCAACGAGATGCTGATATAGAGTCAGTCACTGAACTGCAGCTAAATTGCCTGAAAGCCCGGATTAGAGCTGCCGAACAGGAAAATCTGGTCTGGCAACACGTCGATAGACATACGATAAACAACACTCGTACGGGGAAGACTAGACATCCGTGCTGCCTTAATTCTCCGAAGATATTGAGTCCGTTGTCGAAAACGAGAAATGCCGGATTTACTGGAACTACTCGTTCCAGACGGTCAGGCTAATCCAAGCCAACAAGCTTGACATAGTCCTCCTCGACCATCAACTGAAAGTGATGTATGTCATCGAGTTCTCGGTACCTGCGGAGAAAAACATCATGTTGAAGGAGGAGGAGAAATGGATCAAATACCGAGATCTCCGGTACGAGCTCTTTTAAAAAAATATTATTAAATATAGTCGACATGTTTGAGGTTACAAGAATTTTTCAATAAAAAAGGGTGAAGTTTCTCCTTTTTAAAAATTTCTAGCCATTAAAATGTTTTGTTTAAAAAATCAGGAGTGATTTATTTAATTTCCCTAATGTAGTAGTTCTGTGAGTAAATATTAAATGTTGCAACAAGTTTAAATAATTTCGAAAATTTTAAAAAAGATTGTCTGACAAATCACTTAATTATTGTCAAGAAACTACCTGCTAAATATTTACACTTTGTTCTGAACATTCTGTATATATTACATATTTCAAGGATAGTGTCATGTTGGCTTGTATTTTTTTGATATTTTTAATTTCATGAGACTGGATGTTTCAGAATTGTATCGTCGTAATATCAAAGGACTAAGTACCATTTTTAGTGAAATTGAGTTTGCTTCATAGAAGGATACTATGTTCAAGTGAAAACAACATGTAAAGGGTCTAAGTGTGGCAAGCTTTGCATTGTATTTTTTCTACTAATTTCTAAATAACGCGAAGTGTTAATGTCAATGTGTTTTAAATGGTTTCTTTTAAATATCTCAAAAAACAATTGTTGACACTTATCCCCTTTGATATTTGAACGCTTCAATTATTATTAATTGCTTTATGTCAGCGCTTTGTAATACAAGTTTAATTCACAATTTCGAATACTTAAATTTTGGATTAAAAATGTTTGACTAAGAGAAAAATTCATTCGTTTAAATAACATATATATAGCTATTCATGTTAGGAACGAATAACAAAATGGGTGATGCAAGTGGTTAAAGGTGACTTCAGCGGCAAATTTATTCCAGTATTTGTTTTTAATATTCTAGACGGCATACTCCGTTCAAATCCGCTCTGAAACCTTCTGGACAATTTGCACCTACATATAATCTTCGTCCTTCTACAGGAATAGCAGCATTCTTATTTCGTTGGATATCTCCCAATCGGATATCAATTAGAGGTCCAGTTGTGGAAGTTGAAATTGGTTCAGAAGTTTGTTTATATGTAGTCGTAGTTTCCTGGCTCACTAAAAATAATCCAAAATAAGCATAACATTGTAATGATTTGAGGAAAACACTGCCATTATTTGGTTTGTGTATGTGTGGTCTGAGGTGGTTGTACCAGGTGTACCACTTAAGATATGTCCAAATAAAAGCATTCAAAAATAATCAAAAAAGGAGAAATTGTGTTTTGTTTGTCACATTTGTAGAATATAGGAATTTTTTTTGGATACCACGGTTGACATTCCCAACCACCTGTTCATTGTGTACTATTAAGATAACGCAAATAAGAAATTGTTGTTTCACTTTTAATAAATTTTCTCCTTGACGAATGTTGTACAAAATAATATGGGCTGACGAGCAAAACGCGACTTATCATATAAAGAGAAGAAA